ATGTCTGGCATTTGAGGCCTTCCATATTCACTCCCAACCCTCTTTCCAGGCTTCTTTCTTATTCTCCAGTGAGAACAGTGGGACTGTTCTTCCACAAGAGCAAGCAATGTTCCCACCTGCCAGATTTTGCACGCACTGCTATCCCTGTGTGGATGACACCCAGGAAGTCATTCTGTGTAGTCAGACAGATCTGACTCAAAGATGGATTCCAGCACAATTTATCTCTCGAATCACCTGTAAAATAGAATGACAAAAGTCTACTCCATTGGATTGTGTGAGAATTAATTAATATAATGCACTGTAAGGCGTCTGCCATGTGGGTGGTTAATAAATGGTAGCTATGCTTTCTTTTTGTCTCTTAAAATATTTGTCCTCCTTTTCCAAAGGATGTCATCCAAAGTCCACTTCATTTTTTTTAAGGATTTTATTTATTTGACACAGAGAGAGAGAGAGAGAACACAAGCATGGGGAGCAGCAGGCAGAGGGAGAGGGAGAAGCAGGCTCCCCGCAGAGCAGAAAGCCCAACGTTGGGCTCCATCCCAGGACCCTGGGATCATGACCCGAGCTGAAGGTAAATGCTTAACTGACTGAGGCACCCAGGCGCCCCTCAAAATCCATTTCAATGCTATTCATTGCAAATTTCCTTCTTTGAACTTTCCACTTGCCACCCCAGTTACCTTCCTTCCTCAGAGCTGCTGTTAGATGCTGTATTTCTCACGGCAGCTATTCTCATACTCATCACATGCTTCACCCATATTCTTGCCCAACTGTAGTCTCCAAGGAAGTAGCAATTAATACAAAGTCTTGGAGCAAACAGGTGAAAAGCAAAGTGATTGCATGTATGACTCTCGTGTCAAAAAATAAACTGTCATGTTTCCTGGCTGGTGTGGAGGGCCAGTGTGGCGAAGCCAACCACCCAAGAGCTTCTGTGAGTCTAAGATGAAAATGCACCTCGAGTCTTTATGAACATAATAACTACTGACTCCTGGCTTTTAAAAATACTTTTTTTTCTGAAAGTGAAAGTACTCATAATTACAGTAGGAAAAAATTAATGAAAATAAAATAAACAAAATAAAACAAAAATTAGCAAAATAAAAAGCATCCACCCAGAGATATCATTACTACGTTGTTAAATTCTTTAACATTAGTCCTTTTTTAAATGCATCCAAGTATAATTTACATATAAAATATGGACTCTGTAGATATATATGCCAGAATTATGATGAGCATTTTCTCATGACATTAAATACTATCCAAAGTGTTGATTTCTGCACAACAACCCATCATGTATATGTATCCTTTTTTTCAAATTTCCAGTTGGTTTTAATGAATGGCAGCACCATATCACATGCAGTTCTGGGTGAGTTCAGGGTGAGAATTTCCAATAAGCCTTTTCTAATACTAAAACTGCTTGTTTTTGTGTCATCCAAAGTCCACCTCAAGGTGAGGGGAAGAGAAGGCTGGATGGGTCCTAAGTTTCTTGGGGGGAATCCAAGTCCATATAGTTCTCTCTTCTCAAGGAGATGGGGGCAGGAAGAGCAAGTTCTAGCCCCCAAAGAAAGAAGGACTAACAAACCATAAACACATTACTCTCTCCTTCTTATGAGGCGTGCCTGCCCTTTAAAAAGAACTACATCCTTAACTCACAGGTATTTTTCAAACTTGTATCCTTATTTATCTAATATTTTTTCTATTGTTGGATATTTGAGCTTCCTCTTTTTCAGCTTTTAAAAAATTGTTATCAATTATGCTGATAGAAACATCAGGATAGATTTCTAGATTTGGGAGTATAGGGTGAACAGAATAAAAGAAACTTAAGCTCTTGGTTCCAAATTCCCATTCAGGAAATTAAAAAAAAATTGACCTTTATTGAGGTATGATTGACATACAAAAAGCTACACATCTTTAATGTATGCAACTTGGTGAGCCTGGAGATAAGTATACACCTGTAAAGCCTTCACCTTGGGAAATTTTTCATCGCTTTGCAGTTTTACTACTCTAGCTCTCTTATTAATTTCTGCCTCTTTCCCAGGTATCAAGGAGATAATCGATTTCAGGAATGAAAAGTGGTTGGATTCCATGTGCTCAGAAGGAATCTAAAACAAGCCTTCAAGTTGAGCTCAACTCATGTGCCCTGTGACCATGAGGGATAAAGGTTACTGTAAGTTGTAACATTTCTTGCATTGTCATAACTTTTTCCTTGTTTGGTCATTTAACTCAGTCTGTTTCCTTTTTTTTTTTTTTTTAAAGATTTTATTTATTTATTTGAGACAGAGAGAATGAGAGACAGAGAGCATGAGAGGGAGGAGGGTCAGAGGCAGAAGCAGACCCCCCGCTGAGCAGGGAGCCCGATGCGGGACTCGATCCCTGGACTCCACGATCATGACCTGAGCCGAAGGCAGTCGCTCAACCAACTGAGCCACCCAGGCGCCCCTCAGTCTGTTTCCTTATGTATAGTAGCGGTAAAACATTTCTGAATCTCAGAAAACCCTGTTTGCTGCAGGGCCAAGAAGTAGGAAGAGAGGTAGAAATCGTGATTCTATTCCTCATTTGCTTTAGAGCCTTAGGTCTCCTGCTGCATTGTCTCATAGCTCCCTGTATTCCTCCCTTGCAGCACTTTTTATGATTACAAATCCTAAGTTATCTGTGTATTTGCTTGATGCCTATCTTCTTTGCCAGAATCTAAGTTCTGTGAGGCAGGGGCCCTGATGATCTTATTTGCTGCTTATCCCAGAGTCCCTCCTGTATAGTCGGCATTCAGCAAATACCTGTGGACTGAATTATGACTGGAATGAAGACTCAAGATGGAAAAATATGTGTCCCCTGTGATGGGGCCCTGAGAAGCTGGGACAAGGGGGTGTGTTGGGTGACTGCCCTGAGACCCTGAAATGATTCTGGAAGGGTGAGTGCCTGAGGGATTTGCCCGGGTGCTCCAGTCTCCCCTCTTCACAGGCTTGGGACATTCAGTCAGCCAAGTCTCCTGTGAAATTTGGTGAGTTGCTCTGAAGGAAAGAACTGTGTTCTCTCAAGTTCTCTTCCCCATAATCCCCCTTCTCTCTCGTGCCTTTCTTTCCCCTTCACCTCCCTCCTTTCTTTCTAGCCTGGTGTCTCCAATTCACATGGAGCTCTCTCCTCCCCCACTCCACCTTCTCTAGCAGGAGGCTGGGCTGACACTCACCATCCTATACAGAACCCTGCCTGCCCCAGCTGGAGCTCTGCCTGGAAGTGATAACGCTGACTGATTACTTCAAGACCATGTGAGTACTCCATGTCTGGACTACGCTCAGCAGGGGGCATGATCATGGCCTCAGACCCAAGTTTCCAGGCAACTGAAGACTAACTTCCTTATTTTTGTTGATAACATCATCTGTCTCCCACCACCTGGGTTTTGTTGGTCCCCTCTACCTGTCCAATCTTCTGTAGAAGGCATGGGCAAACGGGAATAGTTGTCCAGGAGGGGTCTCTAGAAATGGGAGGAAAGCTGAAGGGCTCATTTAAAGAGGTTCTCTTTGGGGGACCTGGGTGGCTCAGTTGTTAAGCATCTGCCTTCAGCTCAGGTCATGATCCCAGGGTTCTGGGATCGAGCCCCGCATTGAGCCCCTCATCGGGCTCCCTGCTCAGTGGGAAGCCTGCTTCTCCCTCTCCCACTCCCCCTGTTTGTGTTCCCTCTCTGGCTGTCTCTCTCTCTCTGTCAAATAAATAAATAAATAAAATCTTAAAAAAAAAAAGTTCTCTTTGGAGAGACAGAAGATGCAAAATGTATTCCAACAGGACTTGTTAAATCCAGGAGGTCACAGGAAGGAAGTAAAAGACTGAAGTGGGTCATTTCGATGAGGGAAGTGGATCTCGTCCAGCCTCTCTGTGAGGTCCCTGACAAAATACAACAAAATGCTATTTTCTTGGCCTTCTGGGCTGGGACAGCTGCAACAGGACTTCATACACCTGAATCTTCCAATGGATCTGGCTTGTCTGTTCTAAGGAGTTGTGGCTTGTGGTGGCCCCGGGCACAGTGCTATGATGTTTATTGTACAAAAACAGGGAGGGGGGACTCCCTTGGGATTAGCCTTCTCATGTCAGTTTGCTTGGTCCACTGTGTTTGTTGCTGAAAACTTCAGCTACTCAAATTTCGGTATTTTTGCCACGCAGATGACTGGTGGTATACTGGTGAAGGGTAAGTCCTTAGGTGCAGGGTTTTCTTATAGATGAGTGATCTCCAGTGTCTTCCATTGAGAATCACTGCCATAGTGAGCCATTGTTACTTATAGAGTGTGCTCTATTGTTTATGTTTATTGGGGTGGAAAAGGTTGAGGGTCACTATGTAAAACACAGAAGGTGATTTGAAGCTTCTCCCCGTAGAATCTGGACCATGAGTCACCCCAGGGTTCCTTTCTCTAGAATATGGAAGGTGGTTTCTCCTGGGGGAAATTTACATGGAGAACTTATAGGGAAATGAGCTACAAGTTTCTATCCCATGGCCTTTGCTGTCTCTGGTCTCTTTGTCAGGACCTAGTGGATCTGAGTGGCACTGAGGAGCCTGGCTAGGATGTGCATGGCGTGAGAAAGGAGGGTACTGGTGGTGGAAATGTAGTAATCTTTTTCTGGTGTGCGCAATAGGATAGCATGCAACCAAAAAATGTATCCCAGTGAAGCAATGGGACCAATTCACCAAGTGGGCTAAGAGGCATCATGGTAAAGAAGTACTTTGGGTTCTGATGGACAGCAAGTCTTGCCATGTCCTCATGAAACTCTTCTAAGAGCCATTTTCTTTCCAGACTACTGTTATAATAGTCTTCAGGTGAAATGCCATCGTTCCACTCTGCCGTTGTCAGCTGGAATGGAATGGGGGTGGATACCGAGGGTTCTGGGACGCTTGTCTCTCAGAGATAATGACAACAGAGTCCTGACTGAAGGTATCTCCCTGAAACATGAATTGCTGCGGATGAGTGGGGTACACAAGGATGGATGCTGTGGTAAGACAATTAAATTTGTTTGGTGCTTTATAGCACACAGTTTATAATGGTTTCTATATCTACTGTTTGAATCCTAAAAAAGTCCTTCGGTCAGCAGGGCAGGCTTTAATGGGAACACTTTGTAGATATACAAACTAAGTCTCAAAGGGACTTGCCCGGAACTATACAGTTAGTAAGTTGCTGAACCAAGAGTTAAACCGGGAGTTTGGGTTTCAAGGTCAACCCTCTTGGGTTTTGCTAAATTGCTAAAACGCAACCTGAGCCACAGGACTCTGATACTCGTTGCCCTTATTAACTGGCCACTCGGGAAAAACCAAGTGCCACAGAAACTTGAGGACATGAAGAACTGGCAGACGAAAGCATCAGGAACTCCCACTTGATTACCATACTTAGGACTTCTTGAGTAAGACTAAATAACCTAGGAATGCCCAACATCTTTTGAGAAAATTTCTCAAGCTGGTTATATAACCTGTGCTTCCCGGGGGTGTTATGATTGATCCATGGGGAATGCTAAAGACTGAGCAGGGAAAAGCAATGTTTCCTCAGTGGGTGACCATGAATAAAGCAGTCCAGCTCTGGCCTTAATGTCACAAGGGTGTGGGACCTGTCGCATGATGAACCTCTTTGAGTCTATCCAAAACCTTGTTGATCACTAGCCTCTCTCAGAATATAAAATTATCCCCCAAGGAATCCGAAACCATCTCCGTTCCTCTTGCTGTTTCTTGGGACTATGCTGCTAGCTTCCTGTTCATTACCTCTGTCCTAATGTTCAGTTTTGCAAGCCAGGGGTCCTTTTCCAATTGTTTGAAAAGCTTGTAGGTGAGAGGCAGCAGCTCCGGTTCCTTCACTATCCGCTGATTTCATACAAAATGATCTTTTGTCTTTCCAAAGATAACAAGCACCTTGGAATATGTCTCATTAGCTGCTAAAATGTAGAGATGAAATTCTTCCATCTAGGGAAGCTCACAGAGAGGCCTTAACTCCAGCCCAGACAGTTAATTCCCTAACAGTATCTGGGCCTGGGGCAGGAGATGCATGCTGCAGAGCCAGGGGTAAGAGAGCTGCTGCTTTTCCAGTCCTTTCTCGGGTGTATTTATCAAGGGCCCGAGGCCAGCCTTGGGTTGTCTGGGATCAGGATCTCTTTATGGGGACACTCAGGACTGGTGACTTCCACTAGGCTGGTGTTTTACTGAGTGGGGGGAACATGGGCTTCGGTCAAGTGGGGCAATAGAGTGGCCCAGGTGGGGAACCAGCTGTTGGAGAGAGGGCAGCCCCCACTGCAGCTGTCAAGGAGAAGGTAACCCCCTGCCCCTGTGGGGCCAGTACCATTCTGGGCCACAGCACATGCTTTTAGGGGAGCCAGGACAAGTGATCAGAGGCCGGAGCAGGGCCTAGGCAGGGATGTGCTCAGGGCACAGACACCAGAGATTGAAAAGAAAGCAGATCAATTCGGATACCTCTCATAGTTCCATTTTGTGCTCATGCTTAGTAGTCCTCAGTCCAATACTACGAACCCTTAGGTAAAGTTGTCAGCTGAGCTGGGTCCAGACATCCACTCCTCTTAAGGAGTCCCAAGTCACACTGTCCTTGCCCTTTGCTCTCTCATGCATTCTCCCAATCAGGGTTTAGGCTCTTCCCTAGGCTGAGCCCCACACCCTTAAGGAACATCTTTCTATCAGTGTAGTTCTCTCATAAGCTGTATGAGGGCAGACCTCAGAAGGATACAGATAATCTGGAACTCTAGTGCCCCCCGTCTCTGCGCCCGCCCCAACCTCAACAGCAGTCAGAGACCCTGACCCTTAAGTATCTGAAACAGAAGCTCCTCCTGCCACTAGCTTTTCGCCCAGCTATAGGGGTAGAGTGAAGAAGGGGAGCCCCCCCTTTTCCACCCCACCAGGGACAGCTCAAGGTGAGACATTAAAGGAGCCTCAGACACCATTGAATGAGCCTGGAAGGGAAGCAGCACTTTCCAGTCTCCTGTCCCCGGCCTTGGCCTGCAGCCCAATCCATGGCGGCCCTTTCAGGAGCTTTTAGTGGAAATTCGCCCAGACTGGCTGGAGTCCGCCAGCCCCTCCCACTGCTCTCTCATCTCCTCTTCTGTCTGACTGGGACCACCCCCCCACCAGGCCCCTTCTGTAAACAGCCCTCCTCCCCGCCCCAGCACTGGCCTCTCTCACCCCTCCTTCCTTCCACCCCAGTCACCACATCTCCCTCCCAGGCTTCTCTCTCTCCTGCCAAACCCCTGACTTCCAGCTCCCTTCCACGCCCTGTCTTGAAGCTAGAGGAAGAGAGAGAGAGCCCCTGACAGGACTGATAGCCATTCCCCACCCCCTCCCGCCTGCCCCTCCCCCAGTGGGGACAGATTCCCACTACAAAAGGCAGGAAGCAGAGGCTTCCTGAGACCAGCTGCTCTCACGCTCCTTTGCCTTCTGCTGGCTAGACTGGGCTGTGTCTTTGCTCCCCCTTTCTTCAGGGGACAGTGGGTACCTGCGGTGCCAGGCCCCCTACCTCATTCCCCATGAATGCTGTGGAAAGTCCCGAGGGGCAAGAGCTCCAAAAGATGGGGAGTGGAGCCTGGGACAACCCTGCCTACAGTGGTCCCCCCTCCCCGCATGGGACACTGAGGATCTGCACCATCTCCAGGGCAGTGCCCCCCCAGCCCCAACCCAAAAAGCCTGAAGATGGATCCCAGGAGAAGGCCTATAGGACCCTGGTAGCCAGCTGCTGCTTCCAGATCTGTCGTGGCATCAGAGGTACCTGGTGGGAGGAGAGTTCTCCTCGGATACTGGAGTTAGGAAGGGAGTCCCAAAAGCTTTGCAGGGGGGGAGATGTGACCTGAAGAAGAGGTGGGATCTCAGTCTCTTTGGGCTTTATGAATTGTCTGTTAGAGCTGAAGGCCCCAGAACACAGAGGCCAGTGTAGTGGTCTCTTAGAGGGAGAGCCTGGTAGAGTCATCTCTGGGGGCACAGAAGGGTATGGAGGGAGTTAGCTTGAAGGAGGACATGTTTGTGATGATCCCCTACCTAGGCTGTCCCACCTGAAACAAGAACCTCCTTTCCATGTCTTCATTCTCTGCTACTCAATGTCTTTTCCACTGTCTACCTCAGGGTGTTTGATGAAGGAGGGCAGGCTTGAGTGTGGTTAGAGTAGCCAGATTCAGCCAAGATACATGGTGATGGGTGAGCAAAGGGCCGGGGTAGAAATGGGAGTAATATCCAGGGACTGGTGGGTTGGGTATCTGGGAGGAACCTGCTGCTAGCGATCCTAGGCATCTCTGTCCCTTAGGACTTTGGGGAACAACGCTGACTGAGAACACAGCTGAGAACCGGGAGCTTTATGTCAAGACCACCCTGCGGGAGCTGTTAATATACATCGTGTTCCTGGTGGATATCTGTTTCTGTGAGTAACATCTGTCTCTGTGTACCTCTGGCTGTAAGAAGCATCTCTGTGTACAACATCTGTATACACACTTCCACAGCAATGCCTGAGGAGACAGCATCTATCTGTGAGCCGGCTATGTCCTGGGATTGATTACCTTTTCAGCTTAAGATGTTTTGATTAAAAAGAACTTGTCACTGAGTTCAGGAGAAGGCAGATTGTTAGAAAGCTGTTAAAGTTACTTTGTCAAGAGTTGCAAGGGAAATACAGTTTTTAAGTTCACGTTCCTGACACCAACTCAGCAGCCACCATGTTCTGTTGGCAAGTGGAAGTTTTTACCCTTCTATAAAAAGTGGAAAACAGTTCCTTTCTATTTGGAATGAAGAATAGTTTGGTGGGTTTCATGTGATTATTGTGCTAGGTCTGATCCCCATTTGTTTAAAAGCAGAAGGAGAAAGGTTCAGCAGGCCTTAGAGCTCAGAATCCCAATAAAAGGGCTAAAGATGCAAGTGGTGTAGTGTGGTCAGTGTAGCTAAGATTCTCCCATGTGAGAGACCACCATGCCACAGGCATTGGAGGAAGCTTATTTGAAGTTCTAGCTACAGATACAAACTGGAAAGGTTTGGTGTCTGATTCGAGAATACCAAGTGAAAGGATAGAACAAGTGCACCATGGAAGGATAGAGTCAAAGAATTATAGATTGAAGGTATAGGCTCTGAATTTACACAGACTTGGGTGCAAACACCAGGCTCTACCATTCACCAGCTGAGGAAACTTGAGCAAGTTGCTTAATTTCTCTGAGTTTCAGTTTCCTAGTCCATACCTATCCAATCCAATAGGATTATATGAGGTTCACATGAGATAATATTCATGAAGTCATTACCCCAGTAAAGAGTAACTAGTACCAGTAAATAAATAGGCATATGGTAAAAAATATTCCATAATGGTCACCACCCTGGTCTCCAGACCTGATGCCCTCCCTATATGATGGGCCTCCCTATATGATGCTGGACAAAATACTTCATGGTCATATGGCCAGTACAGAGTTCTGTGATGCAATTCAGTTGTATTCAGATTTGGGAAATCTATGATAACAGCAGAGGAAGTGATATCTGAACCAGAAGCTGAAAGATGAGGAGGATTTAGCTCCTTGAAAGGAAGGTGAAAAGAAGGAAAGTTCCTGGGAAGGGAGAACAGCATGTGCCTAGGGCTCCGAGGGCCTTTACGTTTTGATGCTTCAGACATGTAGTAAAAGAGTACTGTTACTAGCTTCCTACCCCCCATCCTCTCCCAGGCCTCTTTCTTCTTTCAGGCAAAACTAGAGGCAATCATGAGCCTTGGACATGGTCTCAGTAGGGCTACTTTGGCACTCTCCAAGGTTCTGACCTCAACCTCCCTGGCATCTCAGCTCCCTGTCAGCCTCCCTGAGCTCTGACCATCTGCAACTAGACTACATATTCTCAGTGGGGATCATATACCCCCAAGGGAGTAGAAATAGTTTCTTGGAGGGCAAAGAAAGAAGAAAAAAGAAAAAAGCCAACTTAGACATTGCAAAAGTTTTTGGCCCCGGAAAAGGCCACAGTACATAAACAAATGTAGTATTTATGTGCTATTAAAATTTAACTGGGGTGAGGGGTGATTGGGAAGAAAATGTCTAAAGATGCCCCTGAGTTGAGGGATAATGCCAAAAAAGGTTAAGAAACATTGAACTAAACCCTTGTAATTTTGCTAGCCTGTGTGCTAAGCTCTCCTGCCTAATGATAAGGATGCAAGTCCTAGCCATAAAATCTGACACAAAATACAATGGCTGTTGTGTTATTCCATCAGGAGGCTGTCTTCTAAGAGCTTCAATGACATGTATTTGGATACGCATCTTTATCAGTGTGCTTTTCCCTGTCAGTTCCTGTGACTGGGTTCAGATGCTCTAGGACCCATATTTGGTATTAGGGTAAACACTGCAGCATAATGGAAAGATATAAACATTGGAGTCAGACAAACTGGATTCAAATACCTCTGCCACTTATTGGTCTTGTGACTTTGGGTACTTCCTTTTGGTAGAACAAAGAGAATAATACTTATCTTATGGAGATAACATATAAATAATCTTACACAATCACTGATAGTAATCATCTTTGCATTCTCTAGTGGAATTTCAAAATACTTACTTGGTCCTCTAGACTGGTTATAAAAATTACCTTTCAAGAAAGAAGCAAATCTGAAAGGGCTACATATTGTATGATTTTTACTGTATGACATTTTGAGAAAGGCAAAATTATGAAGGTAGTAAAAGGATCAGTGGTTGCCAGGGATCTGGGAGGAGAGGGAGATGAGTAGGTGGTGTGCAGAGAATTTTTAAGACAGCGGAACTACTCTATATGACAATATTATGGTAGATACATGTCATTATACATTTGTCCAAACCCATATAATGTACAACACCTAATGTAAAGTATGGACTTTGAATAATAATGTGTCAATGCAGGTTCATTGATTGTAGTAAATGGGCCACTCTGGTGGGGGATTTTGATAGAGGGAAGGCTGTCCATACGCAGAGGCAAGGGTATATGGGAAATCTCTATACCTTCCATTCAATTTTGCTTTGAACCTAAAACTGCTCTAAAAAGTAAGATCTATTTGGTTTGTAGTTGGCTTCACAAAAAGGGATAATATCATTTGAACAGCATCATTTAAGTTAAGGCATTTTCTCTGGAAGACCTCAGTAAATCACTATAACCACCACTATCATCATTGTTATTAACAGCATGCACACCAACCTTTTATTGAATAAAAGCATTACACCATGTACCTTATCTTATTGACTACGCACAATGATTCTAGGGTATTGGTTCTGTTACCACTTCCATTTTATAAATCAGGAAAGGTTTAGATATGTCAAATAGCTTGCCCAAGGCCACACAGCAAGTGAGTAGCAGAAGCAGGAATCCAATGCAGTGACTATTGACCTGACTCAATTTTTGAGGCTTTTAACTAGAGTCTACTACAGCCTCTCTGCATGCAAATGTGTTACACATTAATTTATTAACACCTGTTAACATCTTAGCAAGGATAACTACATGTCCTACCTTAGTAGAAGCATAACTTTGAATTCTACTGGCTCAGTACTTTTTTCTTTTTATTGCTGTATTTTTTAAATGATTTAAAAACATTAAAGAACATTTTGAAATATAATTCACCTATAATTTACCACCACCACACCAAAGATATCGTCACTGAACCAGCCCTTATATTTTCTTCCTTTCTTTTTTTTTTTTTTTAAGATTTTATCTATTTATTTCAGAGAGAGAGTGAGAGAGCATGAGCAGGGAGGGAGGGGCAGAAGCAGACTCCCCTACAGAGCAGGGAGGGAGCCTGCTCAGGACCTGAGCTGAAGGCAGCCACTTAACCAAATAAGCCACCCAGGCGCCCCTTATATGGTTCCCTTTCACTTACAATTATATCTTAAGTATTTCCTCATGTTTGTAAGTCATTTTTATATTTTCATCTTAATGACTACAGTCACATCATAATTAACTAAAACATTCTCTCGTTATTTCAATATTTGCCAACCGCAGGTAAATATATCTATACTTGCTACTTTTTGCCATTTCTGTTGAAGTATTTCCTTGGGAATTTCCAGGGAGGGAGATGCTAGGACAAAAGATAGGAATACCTTCTTAGGGGTCCCTGGGTGGCTCAGTTGGTTAAGTGTCTGCCTTCGGCTCAGGTCATGATCTCAGGGTCCTGGGATCGAGCCCCGCATCGGGCTCTCTGCTCAGTGGGGAGTCTGCTTCTCCCTCTCCCTCTCCCTCTGTACGTGCTTTCTCTCTCTCTCTCAAATGAAATAAATAAAATCTTAAAAAAAAAAAAAGGAATACCTTCTTAGTACTTGCTTATGTGTTGTCATTTTGCCTTTGTAGGGGATCATACAAATTTATTATGCTGCTAGTACTCTGAGATCAAACCAATTTTGTCACAGTCTCACCAACATTGGATAGTCTCATTTTTAATTTTTATTATTAAGTAGGCATAAAACCTTAATTTGTCTTTAATCACCAGTGAGGGTGGATAGTTTTCCCATGCTTTAATTTATTATGTAAATCTACTTTTGTGTAAATTGCTTAAGGAAGGTATGTTTTAAGAGGGATAAGGAAGGGGGTGGGGAGTAAAGTTTGGAGTATTAAAACCCTAGGCGAGGGACCAAACACCAGGGAACCCATTTCCAGGATTTGGGTTCCTGGAGCTAGGAAATACTAGCCTAACTTTGGCTTGGGATGGGCCCTCATAAACTATAGTGGTAAGCCATACTGACCACATTTCTTCTCCCTTATGCTTTATTCAAGGACCTGGGTGGAGCTAGATACCAGAGCTATTTGGACTTTCATCAGCTGAAATAGAGCTATCTTTTTTATGCAGGCAATGTGGGTGAACCATCTATCTTCCCACAATAACCATATCAGTTGGGTAGGTTTTTAAATCTTACAAAGAGCTTGTATACCTATTATCTCATTTGATCCTGACAGCAGTCCTGTAAGGGATAGATATTATTTCCATTTCACAGATTAGGAAGCCGTTATCTTTTTTTATTTTTTTTTTTAAGTTTTATTTATTCATTTGAGAGAGAATGAGATAGAGAGAGCATGAGAGGGGGGAGGGTCAGAGGGAGAAGCAGACTCCCTGCCGAGCAGGGAGCCCGATGCGGGACTCGATCCTGGGACTCCAGGATCATGACCTGAGCCGAAGGCAGTCGCTTAACCAACTGAGCCGAAGGCAGTCGCTTAACCAACTGAGCCACCCAGGCGCCCTAGGAAGCCGTTATTATTGTCATTATGAATAGTCCAGGAATGATCAGTAATTCAGAATGGTCCCTGATGGGTGGAGTTGGTCCTATTCCTCCACATAGAAAGCACTGGAGAATGATCTTCCTGCCTCCACTCCTTCCCTCCCACCATCATGATATTTAGGAAAGGGCTTCCAGCTCTATGTCGTCTTGGCAGGATGGCTGTAGCCTTTTGTTGATGGAG